GAGCGGTTCACGGTTGTACCGTTTTGCATAATCCGTTGATTCTGACGGAGCTACATCTTGCAACAGATTGAAGGACACATTTTCCCGTCCGTCACCTCCGTGCTCACTCATCAGAATATTCTTTGTACCGTGATTCAAATGCCCAGCTTACACTTCAGGCAGGTTTTTATTAATAAAGACGTGTTTATCGCGCAAACTTTATTTATCCCACATTGTCTGCTGCGGTCTTTACTTGTGAAGTTACAACATCCAGCTGCTTGACTGTTTAAAAAAAATTTTTTTTTAACTTCGCGCTCGCTGAAAAATGAGCAGGGAAAGTGAAATCGTGAACATCGGAATAGCCAGGATGTTCCAATTTGGTTTTGCCAGTGAATGCCAAGTCCAAAGGCTCTATGGCCCCTTGGTGACCCTGCCCATTGCAACACTGTCAAAAAGCACAAGGAGAGCAGCTAACATTCTTCACGGTGGCTTCCGGGATGACGGGCACTCTGCTCTCCACCAGATCGGTCTCGGATGCTCCCGACAGTCCCAAGCGGTGAGCAGATCTAGCAATGTCATTACCATCAACGCCATGACTGCACACTTGAGGGAGCTGAGGCCTCGAGAGACTACGTGACTCATTTGAGGTCACCCAGGAATCCATAGTGAGGCTTGGATTCCACCCCAGGCTGACTCAAAAGCTGGTATTCTTAGATGCCCAGTAATCATTGGTACCTACGGCCGGTGAGCCCTTTCTTAGGCCACAAACTCAGCAGAGTGAGACTGTGTTCTGGCTTCTTGGGATAAGACCTAACCCGTCACCACGAGCTACTGGGTACATGCAGTAAAAAGTGACAGAGGCAAATATAGCACCTTCGAGAAAACGGAGAAGCCCAAACCTGAACAACGCTTTATGTGTGACTAACCACCACCACGGTCATGGGCACCGACTTCTAGGTCAAGAAGTGGTAAGCTACAGTCCGATCTGGCCCACAGCTTGTTTTGTAAATAAAGTTTTATTGGTTCACAGCCACACCCATCTGTGTAAGTACTGGCTATGGTCGCTTTCCAGGCCGAGGCCAGCAGTTGTAATAGAGACCGTGTGGCTCGTGAAGCCTAAAGTATGTACTATCTGACCTTTAATAGAAACAGTTTGCTGACCCTGCCTTGGAACGTTACTCCTAACCCTTTTATCCCGCCGACTCCTTTTCCCAGTTCAGCGAAACCCATGGACCTTTTCTCAGAAGAACGCTTAGACACACGGAGCAAACTAAACATAGACAGGAATGCAAAGGAAACCGGTTATACTGAAATGGCTATTTAAAAAATTAAGAGAAAAAGTCTGTGGCACAGCGATGCATGTGCTTTATCGACGTGTCAAGCAGTGAGAGCTCGCAGTGGGTCTCGTGACCACAACCACTTCCCAGTGGAGAAGAGAACACAAGACACTCCGATCCACGCGCAACGGTGTCGAGAGGACTGCGATTTCTCCAGGCAGCAAGTGCCCGCACGCTGCCACCGGGCTGGCTGCCCGTTCTCATCGTTAAAGGACGCATCATCACACTTCAGCACAAGTGAGTGGAAGGGAAGATGTAAAACTACTGCCCGCCCAACTTCCTGGGCCTCCCCGATTCCATTCACGGGTCCCTGGGTGGGGGGGGGGGGTATCTGCAGACCCGCAGTGAGGACCTCTTGCCCCAGAACGCTTCACTGGGTTTTCCTGTTGCATCCCTGCCCAAATGAGTGACAATCTTGCTTGCCTTTTTTGAAAATAAAAAGCAACGAGTAGATGTGAAACCCAGAAAAAGCAGATGACCCAATCTCACAGAGTTTAACAACGCTTCTGACGTGGAAGTCAAAGGTTCAGATCCTACCGTCACCGTCTTTCCTCCCCCCATAACCACCGATTCCGTGAACGAGGCATACTGCCAGCACGAGCCCCGCTGGACCGCGCTCTCCACGCCTAATGACGGTGTTGGCTCCTGCCCGCCGCCTGCCCCTCCGTTCCCAGAGACTGACCACGCAGCTGATCAAAGCGAAGGAAGGGTAAAAGCGAAATCCTGTTAATTCAACAAGCTGTAAAATTCACAAGTGCCGTGAACTTAAAAGGAGGAAAGGAACATTCCACAGACACAATCACACGCAGGGCACACGTTTGCACTTTCAGAAAATGCACCTTTTCGGGACCGAGGTAAAGGGGCTACTCTAGACAGCAACTTTCTCCTGCCAAGTCAAGATGCTTCCAAACCGGTCCCAAACATGGGCCCTCCGCAGCTCCAACTTGGGAGGTGGAGGTTTCTGAGGAAATCGGCTGGACGCCAGTTGCGTGCATGTCTTGTTGTGCTCAAGCAGATCACAAAGATGTCCCGCAGCCCCCCACCTGCACCCCTCCCGGTAGCTGTGGCCTCTGTCCGCATGCTCCCCTGGACTCGGCAGGACGGCCTGCTAGGACCTCAGGCAACAGGATGGACCACGTCCTCCTATTCAGCTACGTAGACCGGACACCAGTAAAGGCTCGAAATGGGCTTGTGCCCTGGGGGCGCTCGCGTGCACGCCTGTCACCCGGCACCCTGAGAAGGTCACACCTGGCCTCACCCGCTGGTCCCAGGAGGAGGATGACAGTTGTGTGGGGCAGGGCTGCCGGGCCACAGCCAGCAGGGCCTCGGCCCGTAACAGAGCCCAGCCAAGGTCAGCGGGGCTGCCCAGATGACACCCCGCTGACCCCCAGCACACGAGCAGAACGGCAGGTGGCGTACACGGAGGTTTCGCGGGGGGTTTGCTGCACTGCACTTTTGTGACACCAGAAAAGTGACACGGAGGTCAGCCCGGAAGTGGAATGTTGCCACACAGAAAACCAAACCACGCAGCCCTGGCTTTCGGAGCGGCTGGGCGGCAGGTAGAGGCTGGCTGCACCCTCTGTGACGGCAGACACCTTGGAAGACAGACAACACACCTGTTGAATTCGGACTTGATCAAAGAGATTAATTCTGGGCAAACACACCAAAAGTGTCACGTAAGCTGCACAGGACAAGCTACCCCAAGGAAGAGACAAACAACAAAGAACTGGCCATTTTCTAAATGGAACTTAGAGAGAACACAGAAAATCAGAGATGTGCTGGGCTGGATAAAGATGCTCATCTCCAGCCAGTAAAAGGTTTTCGAAGAGAGAAACCAGCCTATGGCCAAAGCTGTTTCCCCTCCAGAGAACCAGTCTGGGGGGAAACTGAATGAGAAGCCAAGGGCGTGCATGTCAGTCCCCCTCCCCTGGAGACTGCAGCTGGAGCCAGGCAGATTCTCTCAGCTGCCTGGGCTTCCTCCGCGTCTCAAGGGATTCAACCCACAGGCGGTTATAAGCCACAGCGCCTACTGCCGGGTCTAGAGGAAAGGCAAGTCTCCAAGTGAACCGTGGGTGTGGCTTTTCGCACACGGATACGTTAGAGACTCATGGAGTTTACCACAGCTCTACCAGCAAAGCTGTCTCCAGCCTGGACTAACACAAAGTCTAAAAGTGTCCCCAACTTTGAGCAGGCCGGCCGCAGTGTGAGCGAGTTCTCAAAGGTTCCCTTTTCACTCCTTTCAGGAGGAGCTAAGAAAGGTGCTGGAAAGGATGGGCTGGTGCACAGGGTCAAGAACCAGGGGGCGGAGAGAAAGCCTCATCAAGAACCGTTCCCTGTCCCCAGAGTGGGGGCACCTGGGACACTGGTCAGAGGGATTTCAACCACGTGTGCACTTCCTGTTCCTACCCTTCGAACTGCGAGGTTACAGTACCTATCCTGCCTCTGTCCGTGGGCAGTGTGGGGACAGACAACTTGTCCTTCACGGCAAAGGTCTCAGGTGAAGAAGCCCCATACCAGACCTGACGGAGAGCACAAGGTCCTGGGCTTTAAGTCTGATCCTGTGACTGGACGCCACTTCTGGGGGGCAGGCTTGGGAAAGTGTGAATGCCTTTATGTGTCAGAAAGAGGTGAATGGTGGTAGGGTGGACTGCCGTTTACAAAAATGTTCCCAGTTCTTATCGCTCATCTCTCTGGAGCCCAGCCCCATCTCTGGACGCCGGGCCCCAAATATGACCTGCGTCAGCCAATGGGATGCAGGTAGAGGTTTGAAATGGGGTTACATGCTGGGGCAGACTTGCTGGTGTCACTGCTACTGCCGTGACGGGGACAAGCCTGGGGTAGCCCACTGGTCCCAGACGGAGAAGAAATACGGGGTGCTGACCCTCCGCTGACCCAAAGTATGTGAGCATTAAATGCTGAGTGTGCTGACCCTCCAGCTGACCCTCCGCTGACCCAAAGTATGTGAGTATTAAATGCTGAGTGTGACGTGCCGCTGAGGTTTGGTGGCAGTTGTCACCCAGCATCCTTTAATGGCTGATAGACACGCCTGATGCAAGGAAAACACCCGTAGTCTGCTAAGTGACCTATGCTGCTCAGTTTTTCCATCAAGCTGTCCTACGCTGGACCAATCAGTGTCCTTTAAAAAGGAGGGAAGTGACTGACCAACCAGGATGTGGGAATGTATTAAAACTGCGGCATTCACGTCTCTACTGCATCTAACACGTCTCTTCAACTGAATACTCTACCTAGCAGATAAGTTACAAAGTTACATAAAGATGTATACACAGGGTCTGGCAGAAGTAACGCCTGCTTCAGTGTGGTCGGTTGGGTAATAATCTGGGTGCAATAGTTTTAATTTGAACATTTCACCTAAAATGTCATAGGGTGTGTTTGAGTGTGATGTTATGTTACAGAATTACATGCTTAGGACTTTGTAATAAAAGGTTTTGTAATAAAAAGAGGGGCGTTATTTGTGCCGGACCTTGTATATTTGTAAATCGATGTTTTCCACTATTTTACTGAGAAAGGCACTTCTGGGGAGAGGAAAACGGCAAAAAGGGCGAACCACGGAGCCACCAAACGTCCCCAGTCCACCTTCTTCCATGAAGACTAAATGCTCTCCGGGTCGGCGCCTGCGGCGGTGGGAGGTCGGGAGCACGGGGCGCAGGCACCGCGGGGCCTCACCTGTGTGGGAGCGCAGGTGCACGGTGAGCTGGCTGGAGTTGCGGCTGGCGTAGGGGCAGATCTGGCACTTGAAGGGCCGCTCGTCCGAGTGGATCCGCAGGTGCTTGTTCAGGCTGCTGCTGTCGGCGGCGGCGTAGTCACACGTCTTGCACTTGTACGGCTTCACGCCCGTGTGGCACCGCATGTGCGTCTTCAGCTTGTCCTTCCGGCTGAAGCACTTGCCGCAGACTTCACACTTGTGGGGTTTGTCTCCTTCGGACACACAACCAGAGCGCGTCAGGGAGCAATCGCACGAGAGAGAAAATGGCTCACCTCCCGCTGCCTGAGGGACAGAGTGCTGCACAACCACCGAGGACGATTTAGGGAACCCCCGAGGGGGATGCGTGATGGGCAGAGAGCTGCGCCGTGGGGGCACGTTTGTTCCGTGTTGAAGACGAATACGCCATTACTGGTGTTTTCTAATCTTCCCTACACTGAAGCTGAGTTTCCTATTTATTAAAAACAGGATGCAACTCAAATGCTTGAAGTCCAGCTAAGCAAAATTAAGTGTCCCCTATAACCACTTCCCCTTTTTCCTTTTCACATGAGACATGCCCTAAATAAAACTCAGAACCATTGTGTTTTGCGAGCTCATGGCTGACCAGCCAAACATGACATATCTCAGCCTCACGTGCAACGAGGTGGGATTCTGTGACGCAGTCCTCATCAAGGAAATGCCAGAGGAAGTAAATGGGTCCCCTTTTGCAAAAAGACATTGCCTGCTCTATACGTTTTTGCTTTCCCCTCCTCGCCAGCTGTGAGCACGGCCTGGGGTGAGCTGCAGGTGTGGGCGGGCTGGGGCAGTGCACCTGCAGGCAGTGGATGATGTAACACAATGTGCTGTAATGGCACAGGAGGACCTCAAATTCCTGCATAGCCTTATAGCACAGAGCCGCAGGTGTGCCCCGGACCACCTGCTCACCTCTGGTCGGTAACGCGAGGGAGACAAAATGCACTCGCCTGTCTGAGCCAGGGCCTGTGTCTCTCTGCAATGGCAACCTACTCTGCCCTCACTGGACACATGTCAGCTTGTTGCCCATAAACTTTTTGACATCTGTTTATCTAATCTCTTTTGTACCTGTGTGTACCTGCATTTCTCTTTGGTGTGGAAAGAACTCTTGGGTGACAAAAACACTTCCTTTCTGAAAGAAACTATGCCTCTGAGTGGTTTTACTTAATTTTCTCAACAACTGGAATTAGAATCCCTGACTGTCCTGTTTTCTTGGCCAATGCAACACCTCCTCCCCACTGGCTACATCTTTTCACACCATTAATATCCACAGTGTGTCTTTCAAGGCCAAAGTAGTTCATGTACAGGTGTTACCATGAATTGCTGAGCCCATTCCTTACTTGGCCATTGAAAAGAATAAAACAGGTATATACGTACTGATGAGGAGAGATGTCCAGCAGCAAATGAAAAGCAGCAAGTCATAGACAACATGCTATAGTATATAACAATATACAATATTAACTTAGTAAGAGATGGAAAAAGTAAATTGTGTGTGTTTTTAGGCATGTTGGAGGCATGCCAAAATCTAAGAATGAGACATACTAGGCGATAAGACTGGACACGTTTGGGCAGTAGATAAAAAAAAGGAGGGACGTGAGTCAGGATTTTTACCTTTTCTTTTATACAATAGATCAAATAGGTATTTTGGATAAATCTTGAATGGCCAAGTGCTCATATCAATTGTCAGCCAAAGCTGATCACTATCGTCATAGAAAAAAAAAATCTGGCGCTTAAGAACACATCTAAAGTGTATAATTTTATTGCTAAAAATATGCCTAGTCAAGCTAACCCAGGAACAGTAATTTCTCATTATTGTCAGCTGCTCGCAAGCTCTGCGCGTCCCTCTCCTGTGTACTTTCAAGAGCGAGCAGCCGCGGGCGGGCTCAGCCGCTCCGGAGCCCGGCTGGTATTGCTCCCGCCACGTCCTCTTCTCGGAAAGGACCTTCCTGTCAACCCCCCAACCTAAAGATGTGTACGGAGACACCGCAAGAAACTATCCTACAAACCCAAGCTCGGCTAACTGAACATGAAAGACGCTTTCCGAAGGCTTGCAGAAAGGGACCGAAGGTCCAGATCTCTCCTTGCATTTTCATGAAGCCCCTCCCCGTCCTATGAATGATCACAGCGCCTGCGCAATGACGGCACGCAATGCATGATTGACGGATGGGCCATCAACGCAGGAGCGCCGCCCTGTGGAGAGACCCGCTGCCTCCTACATGGAGAATGCTCACCAATACCCAAAACTTAGTAACTTAACCTTCTGATCATTAGAATAAATGCAAGTGACATGTCACCATGAGGCTGATTAGATGTGATGGTGACCCCCGGCGCAATAAGGCAATCGTTGGCCATGGCCAAGGAATATAAAAAATAACTGAGCTTTCAAAGGCTGGGGCGAGAACGAACTACTTTGGGCCACGAATTTTGCCCAATTTCACTGTCCCCCCACATTAGACACGCATGTATCACGGAGTTACGGGCACCTCACACTTTGTTTAAGACTGAGAAAGCAATGCCTCCTCCATGCACAAAGCTTGGGAGATGTAAAAATAAGACATTAAAAAAAATTAAAATCACATTTTTCCTTTTCCATGCATCCATCTTTCTCTCTCCTTTAAAAAAAAGTATTTATTTATTAAGTCCCCCTTCAAAACTGCAAAAATAACATACTCACTGTTTCTAATGATATGATGTAAAGATACATAAAAGTTACTATTCTTCCCCCTTATTCTTTACCAATCACCTCTCTCTCTCTCTCTCTCACACACACACACACACACACACACACTTATGGGGTCCTCTCCTCCAAATGAGAAAAACAGGGACATTTACATTTTAATTATTCTGGCAGATGGGTTTTCAAAGTGGCTGCGGCCATTCACATTTCCCCTGTTAAGTTTGCTCATGTCTGTCCCAGCCCTGAATTTCGATGCTCTAAACACCTTCTGCTAAAGTATGTGTAGAAACAGCATCGTATTTGTACTGTATTGGTTTTCCAGCAAGACTCTTATGTGGCATCACATGTCCGACTTGTGGGGACCCCCGGCTCCTAGCACAGAGCATGTATCACGGGCTTATGCGCTAAAGAAATGTTTCTTACCTGTGTGAATTTTTAAATGACGCTCCATGTCCTTCATGCCATAAGCGGTCTTGAACTGGCAACCTTAACAAAGGCAAGGAAAGATCAGTAACAAAGGGAAACACGGTCACCGCAGAGAGGAAAAACAGGGCAGAAACTTGGAACCGAAAGAGGAAAGTGAAGCCCCAGAAACAGGGCAAAGGGCCATCCCTGCCTCTGGGTCCGACGCACCCAGGTTGGAACATCGCAGCTACACCTCCTGCCCAGACTGCGTTGCTAAGTCTCATCCCCAGGGAACATCAGACAGACCCCAACTGAGGGACATCTTACCAAACAACGGGCCTATACTTTGTCACAAATGTCAGGGTCATGAAAGAAGAGTTTAGGATGAAAGGAAAGGACACATGACAACTAAATGCCACATGTGATCATGAACCGGATCCTGAACCAGGGAAAACTGTTTTTCTTTTCATAAAGGCGGCTGGTAAAATCTTAGTAAGGTCAGTAATTTGCCAACAGCGTACATGAGTGTTAACTTCCTGACTCTGACAACTGTCCTGTGGTTATACAAAGAATTTCCATGTTTCTAGGAAATGCACCTTGGGGCACTGAGGGGTGAAGGGACCACATGCCTGCAACTCACTCTAAAACGGTCTTGGGGAAAAACTATGGACATACAGGAAGAATGACAATGCACACATAATATGTGAACATTTGGGGAACCCAGATGAAGGGAATCCAGATATTTTTTGAACAATTTTTGTTACCCTTCTATAAGTCTGACATTATTTCCAAATTAAAAAGTTGGTTTTTTGTTTCTGGTTTTTTTCAAAAAAGAAGGAAGAGCAATATCTCTCTGGAAATCTTCCTAAGTGACAGCCCAGGATAAAAAATTCACAGTACCTGTGCTTTTCCCAAGTCCCATTTCAAAGTCCCCCGGCTATAAAAGTCTATGCACGCAGTGAGTAGGGGTAGCGAGAGGTGGGCCATGCGCGATGGTGCAAGCTCTGGTTTTTAGCCCAGGCCTCTTGGAGCATGTCAACGTCATGTTGTTAAGAGTTCACGAGTTGGAACCCGGGAGCCCGCTCAATGGCGCGTCCTGTACCCACAGGACACAGTGCCGCCTTTACCTGGGTAGCAACAGTTAAGCCTCTTCTGAGCAGGTGGGGCTGTGGGCTTTTTGGCGCGTGACTTGGCAGGCAGAGAGAGAACAGTGGCAGTCTGGTTTTCATTGCTCTCTGTGGGCAGGTACGTTTGGTAGCCGTGCTCGAAGACAAATTCTGGAGCTGAAACTGAAAGACACGGTGGTTACCGATGTTCATGGTATGGATGTCCAACAGCTCGCAGTCCCTTTGGCCTACCTTCCTTTCTAGAGAACGAATGGGTTGGATTGCTTTCGCAACTTCCCTAGCTGCTTGGAAGTGTTCACGGGACCCTGTTCTAGCCTGTGAGACTCTTGAGAATACTTGCTGGGAAAGATTTTCTCCTTGATTAAACAAACAAACAAACAAACAAACAAACAAACAAAAGAACAAGTAGGGGGCAAAAAGAGAGACAATGGAAGAAAGCTCATTCTTGCTGCCCCGGTTGCACCACTTCCTGTCTTCGGACGTGCCAGAATGAAGACGTGATGCCCGGATCTGCGGCAGCCATTCTGTAAACGTAAGGGAACGACCACCAAGAAAATCAGATGTTGAGCCAGAGTTCTCAAAGCACCCGAACCCAGACTTACTAAATAAACAAGAAGTGTCCCTATTGCTTACACCACACAGGTTTCCTGTGAATCCAGCCAAATGCATGAGATACTTTCATAAGTTTACCACAAAATGCTAACGAACAAAAGGAAAGGAACTGATTGAAGAAATTCTGGGCAAAACTGCAAGTTCACTCAAAACACTCTTTAACACGAGTACTCTGAAAAAAATCCTTGCACTTTCACTGAAGTTTTAAGGAAGAAAGAAGAGACCAAATATCTTTATCATTATAAAAGATAGGCTCAAATTTCTTTTTCTTTTCCTTTGCTGATGAAAAAAATCTTTGTGACAGCTTGTTAAGTAAGTTTAGGGTGTGAAGTTTGGAAGTATTTTCCTCTTTCTTTTCTCATATGTAGTTTGTCACAGGGAGATTTGGTTTAAATACGGAGTAAATAAGACCAGTGAGGCTCATTCACTGGGTGAACCTCTCAGGCCAAGATGTCCTAACGACGATTATAAAAGCAACTGTCATAGTCTGTTCCCCAAATTTCAGTCACGAAGGCACTATCTCTGACATTTTTGGCATTGTATTTACAGAATACACTTACTGAAATCGACACAGACCTAACATCATCACCTACTTTGGCCACACCTGAAGCCACAGTATCTATGCCTCAGACTTGAGGCGGTGCATGTTCTCTTAAAACAAACGTCTTCATTCTTTGACTGTAAGATGTTACAGATTATAAGATGTACCCCTACGTAGAACAGATTTAAAAAGCTGCCAATTAAACACATTATGAGGCAATGCTTTCCTAGTCCTCATTTTCTGTTTGATATTGACATGCCTTAGACATTTCATGTTTATTGATTGAGTTCTTTTAGATCTCTTTGGACTGCCACCTCTTGGATATCTTGAGTAGTGAATGACATCATTCTGTCACACGTGAAATAACTCCCAAGTATTTGGGCAAACTCAAGGTTTCAATTTTTCTCAAATGACACATGTGGAGGGAAGTGGCTTTTGTTGTCAGGTTGGCCAAAAATTCTGACAAGCTGCTACTCTGTCTTCATGCCAAGTCCCTCAGACATGTGAATCAATCACACCTGCTCTTACTGACATGTTTTCACTGACAAGTGGGATTTGGCTATTGCTCCTGTTCCCACTGCTCTGCTCAGACCCCAGCCAGCAGCCCTGGGCTCCCCAGACCGCAGTTCGGTGGACCCCCCTGTGAACCTGCTATGCTGGCATGTCCTTGAACCCCACCCGAGCCTGCTAATCAGAAACTCCAGAGTGGACCCGGCACTGTTCTAACAATCTGCCCAGGTGACTCTCAGTCTGGGAAGCACTGGCGTGGATGACCCTTCTCCACACATTTCAGCAATAAAAGTGACCCCCGCTTTGTCCGATGGAGGGATCCATTTTTCTCGCTGCCACACTGCACGGTCAAGGCGCTGTCCATCCCACAATACACAAGGGCTGCGTCACTGCCAGACTCAGCCCCGACGGTGTTTCCAGGTTCCTCTGGGTGCAGTCACTTTTCATCTGCAACCCGAATCAGCACGCAACATCTTGGAAGACATTAACAGCAACGCAACTCAATATACGTAGTTCCAAAACAATGCACACTCCTCTGCCCAAGTGACAAAAACGTGACCAACTCCGACCAAGCTTGTTCGCAGGCACATGAAGATGGTTTTGTCTGCCGACTGGCTGAACATTCGCGTTAATCCCAAGGTGCACTTGCATTTTAGAAACCCTAAAATGTGTGTTTGGATGGGTATGTGTCCAGGTTCAGCTACTTATTGTGTGTGTGTGTGACCTCTGGCGAGTTAGGTGACCTCCGTGGGCCTCAGTTTCCCCCCTGTAAGTAGAGTTAATCACTGTGGCCACTTCCTAAGGTTGTTGCAAAGTTCACTGAGGGACTCAGAAGCCAGGACGTGGCCATGGTCTCATAAGAAACATTAGGCACTGTTGTTGGACGGAACTAGGCCCTGGCATCAGACTTCCAATGGGAGTTTCATTAAGACCTAGGGGGACCAACCACCCCGTTTGCCTGGGACAGAGGGTTACTGGGGACACAGAATGTGCAGTGCTAAACTCAATGGCTGCTCATGCTATCACGGCTTCCCAATTTTCTATTCCACCACTTTTTGAACAAAAAGAAGGTGGGAAGGTGTTCGGCGAGGAAGGGGCTGTGGGAGGGGCCAGGGCCGCCCTGGGGCCCTGCTCCTGGAGTCCTCACAGTCCTCCAGGGAGTAAACACACCCCCGCCCCCGGGAGACTGGCTGGGCTGCACCTCCGAGCTGCCCACCTGCCCCTCTTCCAGGAGCCTCAGCTTCCCCTTCACCGCGGCTCACGGGAGCACTCTGGGTATTAGCCACTCCCGGAGAGCGGTGTGCAAACATCATCTCCCCTCTGTGGCCTGTCTCCCATGTCTGGTGTTTCCTCTGCCGCACAGCAGTGTGACTCGGTCCCACCTGCCCATTCTCGCCTGCGTTATCGTGGAGGGGGGACGGCGCAGGAAGCGAAGGGGGATCACTTTGGAGGTAAGGCTAATCACATGACATGCAAGTCCCCCCAAGACAGATGGCCCCTAGACCGGAAAGGTTTGTCCAAGAACTTGGGCTTTTAAGTCTCGTCTCTCTGGGCCTCAGTTGCCTCACCTGAAAAATGAGGGCAATTCCCATCGCTATCTCCTTGGGCTGTTGTGAGGACTAGAGATCAGGTGTGTAACACTGCTGTTGCTATTGTCATTCATTGATTTACTCAGCAAGTACTCACTAAGCACCTACTTTGTGCTAGGCATTGTTCTAGGCACTAGAAACACACGAGTGAACCACAACAGCAACAGTCCCTGACTTCACAGAGCTGGTCCTCTAGCTGGCAGTATGCAGGCAATAATACTTCTGATAAACACTACGGAGAAAACGAAAGCAGGGAGGTGGTACAGGGGACGCCAGGCGTGCGATTCCAAGTAAGGTAACCCTGGAAGGCCCAGCAAGAAGGTGACATCTCTATACAGAAGCCCGTGGTCACAAATGGTACTCTGTTACAGGGGTCTGGAATTCTACAGCCAACAGCAGCATGAGGGCATCCAGGTACCCAGTCGTGCTGGAGCCTCTGGCAGTTGGGGGCTCTGCAGAGGGGTCCTTGGCAGAGGGGTCCACTGCTAAGCCCTCCTCCCTGTCCCTTGATGGCCCAGCTGCCTCCACGACAGTGGAACTGGGCATGTGTCCCATCTTGGCCAATGGGATCTGGAGTTTCTGAGAAGCACTTCCTCCCTGATAAAGAGAAGCTGCCCCTTTCCCAGTCTGTGGACATGGCTGAGTGAAGACTTGAGGCAGGAAGCAGTGGCAGCCTCCTTGTCACCATGAGGTACATGAAGAATGAGGCTAAAGGACAAAGCCCACCACCAGGACGCCAAGAAGATACGAGGAACCTGCCACCTTTGAATGACAGAACTGACCCTGGGTATGCCCTGCTCACCCAGATACTAGAGATAATCAGAGTATCTTATTGTTCGGCCCATTTGTAGTTGGGTGTTCAGAGCCAGGGAAAGCAGTGGCTGATGCAGATTCCCAGGGCCCTGCTCAGACCCATCAGGATGTTATCCCCAGGGCCAGGGCCCGGGGGACTACAATTTTCACCAAAGCTCTCGGTGTTCTTTTGAGAGACACTGCAGTGAGTTTACTAAGGGACGGCATGGAGCGGTCAAGGGCACAGACTGTGCAGCCGGGGAACCTGGATCTGAGACCCAGTTCTGCTGCTCTATCATCTCAATCAAGTTATTTAGCCCCTTGTTTCTTAGCTCATTATGGGTAAAACGGAGATGACATTTATCAGCATTTAATTTATGGTTGTGAAAAGGACTTCACACAGAGTACTTAGAAAAGTGATTGGCACTTAATAAGCACTACCTACAAATTAGCAGGCGCTATGGTGGCCACATCCTATGGCAAATCATTACATAGTTTGACTTCTCCATCACTCATGTGCTCAACAACCTTCGATGGCTCCCGAGCTCCTTCAGAATAAACGCGCCAGATGGGACGCATGGCTCCTACCACATACTCCCGGTGTATCTCTAGACACTGTCGTGGGCTCTCGTCGTGAGCGGCCCTACCCCCAGGTGGTGGAAGGAAATGCCCCCTTCCCACCACCTTCCTCCCGAGGGCAGGTGATTTGTTCGGAACTTACTATCCTTCGCTTTCACATTGTTTTCCCTGGCTTTCCCCTGGGGACCGATCTACTCCACTAACTCTTTGACAGGACTGTGCGCATCCCAGATGGCTGGGCCTGTGAGTCTCACAACCAAACTGTCCTCCCTGCTCATGGGCTGGGTGTTCTCCAAGGACAAGCGTCTCCACGATCCTCACTCCTGCACGTACGTGGCACACAAGAGTCCCAAAGCTGGGCCCTCTCACTGGGGCAGGCGCCCTGCCCTGTGCTTCACACACACTAATGAACGGAGCCTTCCGGCCACCCTCTCCCGTACTCACTCGGTAACTGTCTCGCCGAGTGCCCCTGTGTGCCAGGCCTGCCTGCAGGGAGACTGCCTGTCTGGTAGACCAGAAACTGAACCACCGGTTTATGGCTCAGAGGCCTAACGGAGCCTTCAGACTCTTTCTGAAGGTTTGCAGAATCAGCTAGGTGAGGTGGGTCTCCCATACGTCCCTGTGCCCTGGCCACAGGCCACCACGGCCACACTTGTAGGTGAGTAAGCTTCTGATTCGTCGCACTGAGGGATCCCTCAGACCATGGAGCTGGGGGGCATCTCGATAACAGGGTGCTAGAAAGGACTTCGATTCAGGGCTCATGCTAGACAACTTTGGGAGAGGCTGGACGAAGCCTGCACTGCACACTGTCAGGAAGTGGGCAAAGTCTACAATTTGACATCTTAGCAAATATTACCCCGGAGCAGAAGAGGCTAAAGCTGTAGTGGGTAGAGAAGCAGACGTCTCTCGGATCAGTGGGGAGGGGGGTGTCTGGTGTTCTGTGGCTTAAACATGACGACAGACATGTTCTGTTTTTATCCTGTTTCGGCACAGTCCTGGTGAGGCCCTGCATCACGCCAATGTTCTGTGGAACGGCTCTGCCCAACAGGAAAGCAGCAGGGCCTGTGGGGGCCGGCCCCCTCCTAGCAACACTGGGACCTCGCTGACTGTGGCTCTGGGCAGTTTGGGCTGCCTTCTTTTCTCAGCTGACAGCTGAGGCTTTCCTGCCCTCCACCTGCATCTGCTACATTGCCGGATCCCCAGCAGCATCTGAATTCACTTCCCTGGCTAAGTAAAGATGGCCTGTCACCAAACAAACAGTTAATCAACACTGTGGTAACTGCTAGGTGGGGAAGCAGTGAGAAACCTAACCTCAGGAGTGGAGGCAGGAGGGGAAATCATGGTGAGCTTCTAGGTGGAGGTGACTTTTAAGCTGGAATCTGAAGAATGAAAAACTAACCAAAAGACATGAAAAGATCATGCTGGGTCAAGTGATCAATTCAACTAGTCCTGGCTGGGGGCAGACCCTGTGCCAACACTTTTCATGGACTGTTTCATTTCATTTTTACTGCCCCCAAGTCAGTAAGCAAGAGCCAACACACAGGGGCCACTAATGCCTGGTTAGAACCCTCTAGCCTGACTACAACTGTCATGACTTCCGTTTTACAGTTGGGGAAACGGAGACACAGACCTGGGTGTCTGTGACCTGCCCAAAGTCACCTGGTTAGCAAGTGGCGGCTGCAGGAGTTCAATCAAGTCTGGCTCAGGACCCCAAACTTGCTATCTATTCCTATCCCCACTTTAAAAACAGGACACCGAGGGTGCTTGGAATGGGCACAGTCGCACAGCTGGCTGCTCGGGCCCCAGACAGCAAAGACTCAAAGCCAGGGCCCTGACGCCAATGCCCCGTGGTTTCAACCCACCAACTTAGAAAACACACATGAGACGCTATCTTTTCCTCACAAGCATCAACATCCAATTTCACTGCTCTTCCAGGAAAAGTTCTTAGATCAAACGTGCAATGACAGGGAGCTCTCCAGCACAGAAAACATTTCACTGTACAGCCCACTCTTACAGGGAGGAGGCCTGAGAGCTGAGTGGGGAAGGGCTCGGCTTGATCAAGGACCAAAGAGGGACAATGAAGTCTGGACAAGGTCTGGGGGAGGGTATCTGGCCCAATCTGCCAGCGTGTGGGTTTGGGCGGTGGCCTCCGGCGGCGGGTGACTCTCCAAACTGGTTGAGACCAGGAATTCCCCCGGGGAGCTTGTTAAAAAAAAACACAGATGCCTGAGTCTTGGCCCCAGAGATCCAGTCAGGAGGTGGAGCCCAGGTACCAAAGTCTTTAACAAGCTCCCTGGGGACGCTGGCCCACAGGCAGGTCTGGGAACTGTCACAGCGGAATGCTGAAGGCCAGGCTTGGGCGGAGGTAGGCCCAGAAAACCAAACTAAATGGTGCAAAAGAAAGGGGGGGGGAGCAAGATTCTGCTTGTTTCATGGCCTAGAAGCAGGAGCAATCAGAAAGCGCAGCAGAGTCAGGCAGAAACGCAGCAAACCTCACCATCTGCTCGTCACCTGTTCATTCATCTCCGCGTTCATAAACGCAGTCATTGATTGAGTCCAATTACTCTGCTCCAGGTCCTTTATGTGGATTACTGCAGAGTCCTCACAATAATCCAGCGATATTAGGTCTTAGGCACCTAATTCTATCACCTAATGGTGTCAGGTACCGTTATGACCCCTTTGCACATATGAGGAATATTAATCAGTGAGAGTAAGTGACCTGCCCAGACTACGGCGCTGGGATGCCTAAGTGCAGACAGACTGCACAGCCAGCAGCCTGTTCCCGGAGCTTGGAGCTCCCTTCGACACGGTGCAGTGGGTGGCACCGTGAGAGGGCACAAAGAGGACTCGGGTCTGCCCTGCGCATCCAGGGCAGCCAGCAGAAATGAGGCACGGCAGGAGTGAATGGTCACAGGGCAGTGGGAATGCTGAGGGGAGGGCGAACGTCTTCTAGCGAAGAACGAGGACAGAAGGAGGAGCGGTAACTGGCTGTGGGGTCAGCCTCACTGATGGATGTCTGGGCAGTTGGTTGCTCATTGGTTCAACTGAGACTGAGAGGCCTTCCACAGTCCCCACCATTCCCTAATGCTTATGTACAGCTTACATTTCTCCCACCAGAATTACCCGCCTTGTTCCTGTTCTAGACGCTCACCATGAATATGTGTTTTTTGCACTTACCTTGAGAATTTCCCTATGTCTGTACACAGATCTAGCTCCCCTTTTCAAGGCCAAGTCATAGCCCACTATCTGAATCTTTCATATTGACTTAATTTCTTAAATGAAATTAAGAAATTATGAAAGCTCCACTTTGTTCACAATACATACTGTCCAGTTTTTTAAAGATAAATACATGGAAGCGGACTTAACTGGGTAAATGTGTTTTAGGTACGTTTTGAAATGGGAAAGATGTTAAATATAATATTTACAATTTGAAAGCGATCACGAAATTGCCCGTGTTATATGCATGGACATCTCCGGGAAAAACAACAGACCCTCGCCCTAAGCCTTCTGTGGACAAGCATTTCTTCAGCTGCTGAGGCAACAGGGCGCATGTTACGTTTAGCGGGCTGGTGTGTGTCACCCGCTGCCCTTTGCTGACACTTCCACTCAGCTCTTTTCTCTGCTTTGTTGATTTCAGGAGTTCTTTGTGTGTGAGGGACATCAGGCCATGGTCGCATATGCTGCAACTGTTTTCTCCAGTTGCATTTAGACTTTTGAAATATTGTTTTCACCTGAGAAAAATTGCAACTTTATCTGCAACCATATTTATGATTCTCTTTCTTTTTTGGGGAGGGTGTCTTCTTTGGTAGGCACGGTATTAATGTATATATATGTGTGTGTGTGTGTGTGTCCTTATCTGAGGACATTTGTTTCATTGACTTTTATAGAGAGAGGAAGGGAGAGAAACAGCGATGCAAGAGAGAAACCAATCGGCTGCCTTCTCGTACGAACCCTGATCAGGGAGCAAACCTGCAACCTGGGTATGCGCTCTGACCAGGAATTGAACGTGCGACCTTTCGGGCTATGGGGTGATGTTCCAACCAACCGAGCCACATTGGCCAGGGATATATATGTGTTTTATAGATGTAAAAATTTAAAAATTAGAATTCCTTTAGCTAAGGAATCCATGCTCCAATTCCCCACAGGGAATGTGGACTCTCTCACAAAGGGGTAACTTCATATTCTTACAGGTATCTGTCTGATCCCCTAGGACAGTTACATAGGTGGAAGTCTAGGGGCATGTGTGTGTTTGTGTCCCGATGTGAATATATGAGTGTGTGTGTGTGTGTATTGTTTACTCTAGGACTGTCAAGGTTTCATTACACACATTTAAACTCTGGGTCCATGCACAATTTATTTTTGATTGAGTAAGTGGACACAACCCAGAAGTGGGATGAACTTTCGTTTTCCTGGTTGCAGCCCAGGGAAGGGGAGGCATGAATACCTGTTTGTAGGTATAAAAATAAGCAACTCTATATTTTTTGTCCCTTTATACAAATAATGCAAATTCAAGGATTGTACACATGCTCCCATCACCCAAAATAAGCATCTTTAAAAAAAAAACTGCAGTGTACTTCCTGCAAGTATTTTCTTTTTAGTATATAGGTTTTTGTTTTAGAAACTTTTTGTTTGTGTGTTGGTTTATATCATGTAACATGTGACAACGCTGATAACTGCTAACCCTTAATGGTTTACCCCAGCAGTTCCCAAATCTGGCCGGGCAGCTGGTTTCCCAGTGGAGCTTGTTAAAAATAATGAATCAGCAACCCTTGGGGGTAGACCCTGGAAAACTATTTTCACGAGTTCCATGGAGGTGTCTGGTTCACGGCCCACTCCTACCGGCTCCCCACCCCGCGGCCGTACCTGTGATGGTCTGAGTCTCCGAGGTGATGGTTCTGGTGGTCTGCGCCTGCGCGGCGGGCACCGTTTCCTCCGCTACGAACTGGACGGTGTTGGGGGCCGCCCCAGGCGCGCTGGACAGCTGGCAGCCACTCTGCTTGTGAGCGACGAAGGTGTCCAGGTTGTTGAACTGCTGCTTGCAAATGCCGCAGATGTGGATGTCCGGCGTCAGCTCGACCAGCACCGTTGTACCTCCTGGAACTCCATGGGGCAAAGGGAAAGTCACAAATTAATTCCAAATAGCCTGAAATTACAGCACCAGCCGGATCCAAGGGAGGGAAAACAGACCCGGTGGCAGACGTGGCCAGGCGCCGGCTCAATGCCCACTCTACTCCCTCCCTCATTCTGGGAAACAGAATCCCAGTGATGTCCTGGCAGCAACACACGGAGACCGAGTAATGGCTAATACCACATTTTTGTCCCGAGGGGTGAGTGGCCTTCCACACAGGAAAGGTGTTTGATGGGCACACCTGCCCTGCACTTCCAAGGACCAGCAGCCATCTCTTTCTCAACTAAACAGTAGTTGTACTTCCCTGTCACTACAAAAACCAATCCTTCCACTGTTCCAAACCCTGTCCCCGCACCGCACCCCGAAAGAACCACTAGTCTAAATAAGCTTGGTCCCTTACATACATGGGAATCCCTCCAGCACACCAGTAAAGGGGCTTCTGGAGAAAGTTTGGCTTTTATGATAAAAAGGGAACACTCTGCCTTGAATGCAGATGTGACGAAAGGGGCTTGTGCAGCCATATTGAAACCATGAGGAAAACACTAAGATTCCTACAAATGCAGATCCTTACTTCACTGATCTCCTGAACCAACCAATTCCAGACTTCTCATTGAGGTAATATAGTTCAGTTTTGTTATTTGTAGCTAAAATTCATTCCTAACTGATAAGGACATTATTTCTCAATAGTAACAATATCAAGTTAATACTGTTAATATTGCACCCACCACAGTGCCCCACACTGTATCAGAAAGTGCTATGTAAATGCTTACTGAATAAAGGAGCACCACTAATTCACATCTCTAATATGAGAACCTTAATTTTTATTTATCGTATTTATCAAACCATAAGACGCACTTCTTAACCACATTTTTTGCTTCAAAAAATTTTCCCTTATTTTCCTCCTCTAAAATCTAGGTGTGTTTTATGGTGCAGACCCCAGATGCACCCAGGTTTTAGAAGAGGAAAACAGGGGGAAAAATTCGAAGCAAAAAATGTGCTTAAAAAAAGGGGCATCTTATAGTCTGAAAAATACGGTAGATTTTCTTTTCCTTATTACAAAGAAACACATGTGAATAATGGAGAATTGGAAAGCAAAGCATTGGGGGAAATCACAATCTTTCACGTGTACCATGGACATTGAAAATATTTTCTTCCATTCATCTTCAATTAAAAATTGTTTTTATTGAAATTTGTTCCATATCATAAAGTCAATCTTTCCCCCCACACAATCTCGCATCGGTACTGTGCTACATCTCTAAAATATATTTATAAATATAACCACGTAATAATACATTCGCATTAGTTCATTGTACCCACACTTCATAATCTTCAGTAACTGTAAGCCCTTTCTATTATTCCCAATTTTCCCCATGCCTAAGTAACAGAAATACTTTGTGCATGTATGGTTGGCATCCACGCAGCACGACTTTCTGAAATTTCGTTAAATCGTTGCATGATGTCCACTTCCCCCCAGTCTAACCAAAGCAGGGAGTGGTTGGGCGGAAACACAGTCTGGCTGACTTGCTAAGGTGAGATGCGGCCCTGCTGTGTAGGGCCCTGTGCATCTGAGTCCTCCCAGGTCAGTGGAGGAAAGGAAGGGCACCTCCTTCATCTCCCAAGTGCTGCTGCCGAGGTGCCCACGGGACTGACCAGAAAACCAGGAACTGGGAGATGAAGTGACCTGCATCGCTGAGGGTTCCTTAATGACTGCACAGGACTGGTCCCCAGAAGTAAACAGGGAGAAAAGTTGAACAGTTCAAGGTCATGGTGCCTGTAACAGGCCAGCAGCGGGGTCCCCCAAGGTCCCCCCCACTCCACATGTCTCTTGGTTGGGTTATTACTGAGGTACCCTATCCTATCTGAACTTGAAAGTATCCTTCTCTGGAAATTTGGAATGATCAAATTTTCATACCTGCCTCGTGTACCTGGAGTGAGAATGACTGAGACCAAGGAAAAACAATGGGCACACTTTGTGCTCACCACCATCAAAAAGAATTTCTTTATCTTCCCAAAGATCTTTAAACCTGTTTCAGCATCAGAATGACCTGAGGGAAGTGGGCCGGGAGTCAAACACAAGGCCTCCTAGTCCCACTTCTGAATGAGTCATAAGGGAGGTAGGGTGAAGGGGCGCTGGGGTTTAGGGAAATCTGTGCTTTTCACAAATGATGCGAGTGTACCCAGCCAAGTCTGGGAGCTGAAGTCTCCCAAACTGTTAACAGTAACAGCTGGCGCTTACTCTTCACCAGGGGTTTTCAAACTTTATGTACAAATGAATCTCCCAGGGAAGGCCAGCGGATTTCTTTTCCCCTCCATCATCCCCACCCCGCGCCCTGACCTGATGGGTGGGGCCCAGAGAGCTTGACTTTATTTTTTAAATTAAGCGTCCGTCCTCCCAGGTGGCTGGTTTGCGCTCAATCCCTGGGCCATTCCTTGGGAAACAATGCAGGGGCGAAATCGGGGACTGCTTGTTCTCATCATGAAAATAAAAATGCACCTCACACTCAAAAAGAAGGACCATGGCTCCATTCCCCATTCAAATCTCCACCTTTAATATGGACCAGGCTTTGCAGGAAGGCGGCAAGCCTAGCCTGCCAGACCTCGTGAAACCCTCCAATCCCCAGACTTCAAGGATCTGGGGCCACCTACGCAGAAGTTTTCCCACCAGCACTGCAGCGGTTACCCCCAACCCCCCCCCCCAAACTCCGCCACGGGGCCCGGGAAATATCCCACGGGGGTAGAAATGGCTGAACAGAATTCCCTCCCCCACCATTCCCTTCAAGGGGTCTTGCAAAACTGGGGAGCGCCCTCAGCCTTGAACCGGGTAGGGTGCCCCCACCCTAAGCCCACTCCCGCGCCTTCTGCACTGTGCGCCCGCCGCGGTCTCCCAGACGCAGGCACGGGCCGTCACCCCGATTTCGGGGCCCCGGGCCTGCTCACTGCGTCGCAGACGTGCTTGGGCCCGGGCCCCGGAGCGCGCACTGTGCCCGGAAAAGCACTTACTTTGCACGGAGCCCGGGAAGCTCTCGCCCTCGCTGTTCGCGTTCATGGCCAAAGACTGGGGGGGTCCCCGGCTGGCCCGGATGGCAGGGCGGGGGGCAATGGTCTACATGGTATAGGGGCTTTTCCTTTTATTTTTCCACAACCCCCCAATCTTCCTTCTCCCAACTCTGCAAGGCGGGAGGACGGATGTAAAGCAAGCTCCACTTCCGCTGCCTAGAGGGCGCTGGCCGGACTTATTCACCCCAACCCAGCTTTGCAACAGCGGTTCCCGGGGGAAGCTGCGGGCCAATCCCGATACCCGGGCCGCCCGCCCGGACTCGCGGAATCCCTCGGGATCTACAAGGCGCCCAGGAGGGTAGCAAACGCTGGTGGCAGGGGATGCGCCTTATGCCCGCAACCCTGTGGTCTTGGCGTAGCGTTTGGCTTCCCTGGCTGTGGCGCCTTTGCACCTGCCACCCTGGGCGCCTGGTCCCCAAGGTGGCCCGGCAGACGCGTTGCTAGGGTTGTAGAGAGGACCCCGAAGGGCTTCCGTTGCTGGGTGGGTGCTTGCAATGCTGTGGACTTGAGATAAACCCCAGCTGAATGTCAGTGTGCAGCAAATCGGAGCTCTGGGCGGGACCCCTGCCCAACTAGTGAAATAAAAAAGATTGTGATCGGGTAGGTAAGGCTAACCACTGGGACCAAATGGTGAAGGCCCCCGTGTTCCGGGGTGTGGCAACTTTACCCTGCATAGGCACCTGGGGGGCTTGGGAGAGACTGCTGGACGCACCCCAAAGTTTCTGAGTCAGTGTGTCTGGTGCGAGGCCCGAGAATGAGTATGTCTAAGTTCGTAGGGGAAGTCCCTGCTTTGAGAAGCCATCCTCGGCTTGCCCATTCTTATATTGCTGCCCTCTGTCGCCTACCCCCCATCCGCTCCTCGTCTCTCTCCCCTGTTTGCTTTATCCTTCTTAGAGCTTACTACATCTAACATTATATCTAGAGTCTGTCTACTTATCTACCTGATAAATAATCTGTGTATTACATGTTTCCCCTTCTCCTTTACATTCAGTAAATCCCCATGAAAGTGTTTTTTTTTCCCTTAAAAAAAAATCTTCTTGGCCCTGGCTGGTGTAGCTCAGTGGACTGAGTGTGGGCTGCAAACCAAGGGGTTGCCGGTTTGATTCCCAATCAGGGCACATGCCTGGGTTGCAGGCCCGGTCCCCAATAGGGGATGTGTAAGAGACAACCACACATTGATATTTCTCTCCCTTTTCTTCTCCTTCCCTCCCCCACTCCAAAAATACATAAATAAAAGTAAAAAAAAAACCTCTGTTTCACTGACATAGTCATCCCCAGCAACTTGGCCTAATGCCTGGCCCATAGCAGGCTCTCAGTAAATGTGGCTGTATAACTAATGGAATCGTCCCTGCTGCCTCCTTTAAGGGTGTGTTCCTTCCTGTAGCGACTTTTTAAGTGTTTGCAATGTGCCCGGTACTGTGCTAGAAACTGGAAGTACAAGGGTGACCCAAGAAGAGAACTTTGCTAGTGGCCGAGATGCTGTCAACGCCAATCAAATTGGCAGTGTAATTTCTTGATAAGGTCTCAGAATACATAAAGCAAGGAAGTGATAGTGGAATGGTCCAGGAAAGCCCCTCTGAGCAGGTAGTATTTGGGTGCAATTGGGGAATTGGCTGGAGCAAGAACCCGGAGTCAGGAATAAGCTAGATGTGAATTGGCTGTTGCCCGCCATTCCAACCGCAGGTCTGCTCCTGCTCTCCAGCTTTGCTCAGGCCAGTGACACCATCCTCCATGTCTTTGCTCCAGCCTGACCAGCTCTCCCTGCCCCTGGGGCTAGTTATCTGCTTTTCCCTCTGCCAGCATAGCTTCTCCCTGGTCTGTGCAGGGATGGCTTCTTTCTGTCACTCAGGGCCAAACGGAGTGTCACCTTTCCTGTCTCTTATCTAAAGCAACTGCCCCCCTTGGCACTGTGTACTACATCACCCCCATAATACCCACCCCTAGATAACGTGATCCACAATGGCACTAAACTTAGGACAGTATTCGTTTCTCAGTGCATATATGCGCACCTGCGTGTGTGGTCTGTCCAGAAAACATCCAGCCATTGTTAGTATAACAAGAATGGGTTGTGTGACATCGATGTAACCTGGCAACCCAGGAGAGTGGACTGGAATGCGCATGTGTGAACAATGACCACTTCCCTGTACTAGTTAGTGGGGCTGTAGATGCCACTGAGTGAGCATGTGCACTGTGTGGCTGTCACATTCAGAATGACAGAGTGAGCAGAGCAACAAATCTGTGTCAAATTTTGTGTTAAGCTTGAACATTCTTCTGTGGGAACTATTTGGATGATTCGGAAGGCTGTGGCTATCGGCAGCTTCATCATGACAATGCAACGGCTCATGTGTCACGTCTCCTGAAGAGTTTCTTGGCAGAATATTGAATCACCCAGGTGACTCAGCCCTACTACAGCCCAGATTTGGCGCCCTGTGACTTCTGGCTTTTCCTAAACCAAAATCATCTTTGAAAAGGAAGAGATTTCAGACCTTTGATGAGACTCAGGAAAATATGACGGGGCAGCTAATGATGAATCTGAGAACTGTGTGAGGTCCCAAAGTGCCTGCTTTGAAGGGGACTGAGGTGTCACTGTCCTATGTACAATGTTTCTTGTGTGTCTTATGTCTTCTTCAAAAAATGTCTCTATTTTTCATATTACACAGCTGGATACTTTCTGGGCAGACACTGTGTGTGTGTTTGTGTGTGTGTGTGTGCACACGTGTTGTGGTCATATATTTTATAAAAGTATGACTATAACTTACATGCTGTTTTTTAATCTTCTTTTGGGGTCATACATAGTATGACTATTATTTTAAAAATCCACAAATAATACCTGCCCACCTGAGATTGCCGCAACCATAAACTGTATTTACATCTTTATGCAGTATATATCTTTCTAAACTTTTATCTATAGAAATATAATAGCAGGAACCACATGAACTGGTGATACTATCTTTAAATACTATCTTTAACTTAAAAATATTAATTTCACACTGTTCAAATTAATACAGGGATCAGAGTAGGATTACGGTTGTGAATACATGAAACAGTTTATTCCTCTTGTATTGTTTTTTAATTATTTGTGTCATGACTGCAAACCCACTTTTGCCCACTATATACTCCTGTGTGTAATATTGTACTTATGCTAAAGATTATTTCTGTACCCAAGATTGGTTGTATCAAAGTTTTTTTTTTAGAATTTCTGATTTGCAGCTGAATACATGACCCCTCCTGAAAAAGACTTTTCCCACCCTTCTTTGTAGCTAGACATTACTATATGATACATTCCAGCAATGTGAAAGAAATGTTGTGATGTAAGTCCTGGAAAGTCTCTTAAAAATAATAGTTTTCATATGCCATTTGCCCCTTCTTTATCACTCCTTGCCTTCATTGCTTGGAATGAGGATGTGAGGGCTGGAGCCCCAGCTGCTATTTTGGACTATGAGAATGAAGCTATACTCTAGGCATGGCGGGGTGGTGAGTTGGATATAGCCCAGGTCACTAACTTCTTTATGGAGATGTTAACTAGATTGCCTACTTCAGAGCTCCACTTGCACGAAGAAATGCACTTGATCTTGTCTCAGCGACTGTTATTCAGGGAAGGGGGGCTGTTTCTTTCACGTGCAGCTGAATCAAAGCCTAATCAAACATGATACTATGCATACTGCCTCATAACTGGCTTTGATTTTGTGGGTTTTTCCAGTTAGGATGGTGCATTAGAATGACCTGTGAAGTTTTTGAATATATGGACACCCCAACCCCATTTGTGGAGACGGCTTCAAAAGGGCTGGTGTGAAGCCCAGGCTTCAGTACATCTGACAAGCTTCCTGGGTGAATCTGGTGCACTTGGCAACTTCTGCCTCCTACTCTTACTTTTTATGGTGGCATAATCTTTCATTATAAGGTTTTATCGCAATTTACTTGCCATGCTACTGGATGTTAATGACTTTTTAGATAAAAGTAATACATTGCCGTAGCTTAGTTATTTATTGGTCCATGTGAACACATTCTGATCGGAGCTGCTGGAATAAGTAGTTTCAGCACCATTTGGAAGGGCTTTCTCTTCCTTTCCCTTTTCAGGTCATTTTCAGATAAGCTTACATTTCTTAAAAAGTTAACAGCATCTGTTTGACTAGGATGCTCATGATTTATTCTTAAGTTTTTGACCATTTCTCATTTAATAGATAGAATATGATTTAGAAATCGCAAAGTTCCTGTGAGGTACAGAAATATCTGGTAATCCTACTCCATGTTTGAAGTCTGGAAGATAAACTAATTGGAATCTGTTGCCAATGCCTTAAGTGGATAGATTTCTTATAAAAATTGAGATGCGGAGCCTTTTTGAGAAATGTAAAGATCCGGCAAATCTTGGCCTAGATCACCATTCAGTAGCACCTGGCCAGGCCTAAGAAGCTCCTTTGCATGCAGCCCGGCCCCTCCAGTTCCCCCTCCCCTCCTCCTCCCTCCTGTTTCTGGTATGAAAACTGAGCATCAGGGTGCTAGACCACTGGCCTTGTGCTACATGTATCTGAGTTTATCCAAAACCTCCAATATGTTTCTAATAGAAAGAGACTTGCCTTTCCCTATGGCTTAAATATTTCTTTTGACTAAAAACCTCTGCGAAGGAATCACCTACATTACCTGTACTATGTAATTGAACCCTCCGAACAATGGGAAGTTGGACACTATCATCGCTATTTTTTCGCGTAGAAACTGAGTCTCACAAAGGCTCTGTGTTCTCGAGTCAAAAGGCCAATAAAGGACGATCTCAGAGAAGAATCTTTGAGGGGAAGTAAGAGAAATGGTAGAAGAGCAAAGATTTGCCTAGTGTTTTAAAAATCAATCTGTTAGGATAACTTCCTTGCTTAAATAATATCTGGAAGGAGATTTTCAGATACTTTCTTAAATTATTGAGGGAATATACAATTTTTTTTCTGGTAATATTAACTATAAGAATAACAAAGTCATCGACTTCCAGCCAAGATGGAGGTGTAGGTGGAAATACTGTACCTCCTCACACAACCAAGTTTAAGGACAACAAAGATTTAGAAACAAAAACAACCAAAACAGACAGAAAATTGAACTGGACTAAAGTTCGACAACAACAAACCATTCATCCATACAGGTAAGAGGGCTGGT